CTCTTCTTCTTCTTCTACTGTCTGCTTCCTGGCAGTGACATCCCCTCCTGGCTCCTCCCACTTGTGTCTCAGGTGTGTCTCCATGGCAACAGATGGACTCAGGATGTGCAGGTGGTCCAGAGAGAACTGCAGGTAAACCCTGTGAATTGAACCCAGCTTTATTTCACTCATAATGTTTACAACCAGGAAGGAAGCTCACATGCTGAACCAATCAGACACCCTCTTACATCACAGAGAATGGACCAATGAGCAGTCAGCATGCTGCAGGTTGTGTGTGTGTGTGTGTACCTGCAGTGTTTGTGTGTGATGAACCTGTCCTGGTCCAGGTGTTGGTAGGAGGGGAAATCTGATTGGAGGAATCTCTCTGTCACCATGGTGAACTGCACCACACCCACCAGACAACCTGCAGCACACACACACACATTAAAGAATAAAGCTGTGTGTCCCTGTGTGTGTGTCTGTGTGCGTGCATTGTACCGATCCAGGCGCTGTTAAAGACTGCCCTCTGCGCTCCCTCCTCCTCCTCGCTGCTCTCCGTCAGCACGCAGGCTGCAGCTCCTGTGGCGTCTCTGAGCTGCATCGAGTGTTTGAACTCAGACATCTGTGACGGCAGCTCCAGCACGCCGACCAGCAGCAGGGGGCGCTGCCTGACACACAAACCAGCAAAAATCATTGGTACGTAATCACATGACTTTATGTGGGGAGCTGCTGTCACCTTACCTGACAGCGTCTCCACCCCGAAGCTCGGAGGACAGAGTCCTGCAAGACCAGGACAGGAACCCGTTGATCTGGGAGGAGGTCAGGTTGGAGCCATCAAGGGGCAGCAGAGAGCTCAGAGGGGCTGAAGACCAGCAGTCAGTCTGCAGGGACTCCAGGAGCTCCGACACACCGAGGTACTGACGGACCGCTGAGGACACGCTGTACTGCAGGGACACAGAGCACACTGAGCATGCTCCACACTCACCTGTAAGGAAAACAGGTGAGAGTGGGACCTACCTGAGTCACAGGACAGGTGTGAGGCTCGTCCAGCATCTCAGAGTAGATGTCTCTGCGTCCTCGTCCTCCAGCTCTGTGCCAGCTGCGAGCTTAGGTGACACGTCCACAGGTAATCGGACACATCTATGTTTCTCTGCAGCAGTAACCGTGTTAACACCCCATCTCCCGGGCAGCGGTTGTCGGGTGGCGAGCCTCCCGCCCTGCTGAAGGCCGTCACCCTCAGGCTGGAGCGCAGGCAGGTGCAAAGCATGCTGGAAGGGAAGTCCGGGCAGGGCCGGTACAGGAAGTGGGCGTGATGCAACTGCAGGAGGAGGAACCATCAAACTTTATTAGTCGTGGCTGCCACGAACACAAACGGGCATGATGATGTCACGTCATGTGACTCACCTCCACTCTGTCTCCCGCCCTCAGCTTCCTCTTCACCGCCGGCTGATAGGCCACGCACAGACCTACCTTCCCATCCAGCACGTAGAGCCCCGCCCCCTCACTCACAACTTCAGTCACCATGCCTTATCACAGCAGAGGAGGCTTAGTAATCAGCACACAGGTACAAACATGTGGTAGCCAATCAGAGCTCACAGCACTCACCTGGTAGCTGATGACTTTGGATTGCTTTATCTTCACAGCTGATTGGTCCAGCTCCACCTCCTCATGCTCCGCCTCCTCACAGTCGTCCTCAACAGGCTGTGACATCAGCAGCAGAGACTCAGAGTGTGTGTGTTCCTGTGTGTGTGTGTATGACAGCTTCATCAGCTCTGATCTGCAGTGATGCCGTTTGTTTTAATAGCTGCATTAGATTAAATTAGATTAGATTAGATAAAACTTTATTAATCCCTCGAGTGCGTTTCTCCGGGAAATTTGGTTTCCAATAGCCCAGCACCGACAGAAGTTACAGAATGTGAGCAGAAATATACCATATATATACATATATAAATACAGAGTGTACAAAAGGGATAAATAGAATAAATAGCAATAAGAACACAAGGGAATTGCACATTTCAAGTATTGTGAGTCATTAATCCGTGCGGTGATGCTAGGACCACACTGAGCCTGCTGCAGCTGTCTGACTGTAATCTGTCAGTTTACTGCAGGTGATGCTATCTGTATACTTTATGTAAGGAGGAGGAGGCTCCACATCTTTATAAAGCTCTGAGTAACTGTGCTGGCACAGACGTGATAACAGCACTTTACCCTGCTGACAGACTCTGTCTTTACATCCTTTACATCCTTACTTATCGATTACTAAGTGAATCCATATAAAGACAGCTCACATTTAATAAGTCCTGATGTTTCTGATTTCCAGAAATGAAAGTCAGCTGTTGAGCTTGTTTACTTGTTTTATGCTGATGTAAACATTACCAGAGAAGCGTGTGATGACCAGACTCTATCAGCACTTGTGTCCCTGCACAGAGAATGAGCTGAATTAAAGAGGAATTAGATTTCATTTACGTTGCACATGACCACCTGCAGTTTGTTGTACTCTGACCTCGTTACCCATCAGTTCTGACCAGATCCGGTTTAGTGACGCTGCTGTGAAGAGAAGCTCAGAGTCCTGAGAACTAACCAGCTGATGGCCGATGGGTTAAGGTTAGGCTCCTTCCCCTCTGACTCACCTCACACATGACACTGCCGCTGGCGTCCATCAGCCTGTACTCTCCGTCAGGGCCTTCTCTCAGACAGCCAATCAGCAGCAGGTTGACCCTCGGCAGCGCCCTCTGACCCGGCACGGCGAGCTCCGCCTCCCTGGCCCAGGCTCTCTGCTGATTGGTGCTCCAGGACAGGTTGCTGACGCAGGCCAGGTGCTGCTGGGAGACGAGCTCGGAGACGGACAGCAGCCTGCGGACAGACGGGAGGACAGCGGTAAGGCCAGGTCACGTGACCTGCGACAGCAATGATGTCAGCAGATGTTACCTGTAGCTGACAGGTAAGCTGTGGGCCACACACATCTGCTGCTGGATCGCCTGCACCGCACACATGCTCAGATCGAAGAGGCTGAGGTCACCGTGGTTACCTGGGAAAACAAAGTTTAAAGGGTAAACACAAACATAAACAACTGAAGCCCAGCCCACTGAGAACACCTGAAGTGGACACCAGAGCTGGTGTGTCAACAGGTGGGACCACCTGAGGAAACAGCTGCTCTTCATCCTCAGACTCTTACTCCTCCCTGTTCTTCACTGACAGTCGGTCACCTTCATGGCTCTGACCTTTGAACCTCACATCTACACACTGGACTGCACTGATGACACCTGTGAGGGCAGGTGAGCCCTGCTTTCACTTTTTAAATAATGCTTTAAATAGTATTTGGTTTCATAAGTGAACATCATCATTAAGGATTTAAAATACAGCTGATTTATCAGGTTAAAGACGAAAAAACCCTGAAGGCTGATGTGCAAAAGTATTCGGCCCCCTTGAACTTTCCCACATTTTGATTCATGTTTGTGGCTGTAATGTGACAATCTTATTGGAATTCCACGTGAAAGACCAACACAAAGTGGTGAACACGTGAGAAGTGGAACGAAAATCATACATGATTCAAACATTTTTTACAAATAAATAACTGCAAAGTGGGGTGTGCGTAATTATTCAGCCCCTTTGGTCTGAGTGCAGTCAGTTGCCCATAGACGTTGTCTGATGAGTGCTAATGACTAAATAGAGAGCACCTGTGTGTAATCTAATGTCAGTACAAATACAGCTGCTCTGTGAGGGCCTCAGAGGTTGTCTAAGAGAATATTGGGAGCAACAACACCATGAAGTCCAAAGAACACAGCAGACAGGTCAGGGATAAAGTTACTGAGAAATTTAAAGCAGGCTTAGGCTACAAAAAGATTTCCCAAGCCTTGAACATCCCACGGAGCTCTGTTCAAGACATCATTTAGAAATGGAAGGAGTATGGCACAACTGTAAACCTACCAAGACAAGGCCGTCCACCTAAACTCACAGCAGAACAAGGAGCTGATCAGAAATGCAGCCAAGAGGCCCATGGTGACTCTGGACGAGCTGCAGAGATCTACAGCTCAGGTGGGGAATCTGTCCATAGGACAACTATCAGTCGTGCACTGCACAAAGTTGGCCTTTATGGAAGAGTGGCAAGAAGAAAGCCATTGTTAACAGAAAACCATAAGAAGTCCCGTTTGCAGTTTGCCACAAGCCGTGTGGGGGACACAGCAAACATGTGGAAGAAGCTGCTCTGGTCAGATGAGACCAACATGCAAAACGCTATGTGTGGAAAACTAACACTGCACATCACTCTGAACACACCACCCCCACTGTCAAATATGGTGGTGGCAGCATCATGCTCTGGGGGGGCTTCTCTTCAGCAGGGACAGGGAAGCTGGTCAGAGTTGATGGGAAGATGGATGGAGCCAAATACAGGACAATCTTGGAAGAAAACCTCTTGGAGTCTGCAAAAGACTTGAGACTGGGGCGGAAAGGAGAATCAAAAGGAGAATCTTCAAGCTGGGATACAGGCATTAAACAAAAGGATGTAAAAAGAATGAAAGTCATCAGGAAGGCGTAGTATGTTTTTGATGTAATGCTTGCCACCCTGAAGGAGCTGGTCAGTGACAGTCTGGTGGCAAAAAAGGACAAAGACTCTCATCCCCTCCATAACACACTACACAATGTGAAGAGCATTTTCATTAATAAATTGCTTCTACCATGCTCTCTGAGGGAATGACACAATAGATTTTTCCTTTCTGCAGACTTTTTTTTTTATTCATCCACTTGTGTCACACACACATATTGAACATGAATAAACATAACTCACCGCACTCTGTAGCTTTTTATGCAACAATGTTTACTTGCACCCCTGTAACCATATGTTGTCTGTTGTGTCCAAGAAACATTGGAGTTTCTGGGACTTCTGTTCCTATTTTTTAAATGTATGTTTATTTTCATGTTGGTATATTAATCTCTGTATTTATAGATACATCCCCTCACTTTATTTGATACAATTGCTTTGTTGTGTGTTGTATGTATGCTGCTATGAATACTCAATTTTCCTATCAAATTAATAAAGCTTCTCTAATTCTGATTCTTATATAGAATATTTATATTTTGGCATACATAAAGAATACATTGAGGTGCATAATAGCTCTCAAAAACGTTATTTTGACATAGTCTTTAAATACTCAATTTAATCTTAAATGTTTTAATCTAGTTGGTACATTATGACAAAAATTAAAAACTTTACTTAATTACTTAAGCACTGATTATCACAGTGGCAATTAGCCTAATCATTAAAATTTATAAGTAGTTACAAATGGGACTTCTTCTCTTATCTCTTTTTTGTCATTTTTTTTTTTCATTTTTTATTGTTGGTTTATTTTAAATTGTACTAAAACAAATGCACAGCAGTGCTGTATATCCAATTTTTTTGGTTTTAGTCATCTTTTTCTAAATTTATTTTGACAATGATAGTGGGGAGCAGTTGTCAATGTTTTTAAAAAGTCTTACACACACTTTCATATACTCAACCACTGTGTTGTCATCTTCAAAAACTACTTCAACAAACCTGGATATTTTGGCCCCGCCCCTCCGTGAGCCTGGTTCTGCCGGAGGTTTCTTCCTGTTAAAAGGGAGTTTTTCCTTCCCACTGTCGCCAAAGTGCTTGCTCATATGATTGTTGGGTTTTTCTCTGTATCAATGAAGCGCCTTGAGGCGACTTTTGTTGTGATTTGGCGCTATATAAATAAATTTGGATTGAATTGCATGACAAAAGTCAAATCTGTTGTTTTCTCAAATACAGAAGCCTTTGTATTTTAATTTCTTATTTGTATTACAGAACCTCCACATTTTCCTCCTTTGGAAAGGCAAGTTTTATCCTTAATATGTTGAAAAAAATTATTGTAAATACAATGATTATAAAAAATTTATATAATGTACAAAATTAAAAAAAATAACTTGATAATTATAGATGTTTCTATTTTATTTATTTGTTTTACAGACTTGGAAAATTCGTCTAAAACATGAACATATAATAAAATGCATTGAGACTTTCGCCGAACCACTAGATAGAAAGAAACAGTGTTCACAGAGGACACGCATTCTGGAGTAACGTGTGTTAAGACTTGGGAGTGCCAAATAAATGTACAAATCGGAAAAAACTTAATGTTGCTCCTCCTCACTACCAAAAGGTAAGTACTGTATGATATCTATGTTTAGAGTAATCTGAATACTCCTCTGACAAACAGTTGACCTGAAGAACAGATATATAAAGTGGATGAATAAAAATTGCGCCTTGCACAGGCACACCTAAGTATAATTAGGTGGAAGGATACTGTTTTACATTATAGATGGATGAAAATGTAATTACTACATATGTATTAAACAGAGAACCATGGAAGTCCTACACAAACAAAAAAATATCAATGTTGAAGGTGATGGTGGGACCTCCAGAGAGAAGACTTCTTGTTTGGTGTGTATTGTTAAACAAAATAAAATGATTCCTTTGATGTTACATATATTATTTTGAATTCAAAGATGTTATTATTGTTCATATTACATGGTTAAATATTTTGTTTCACATTAATTTACGGTTTTCTATCAATTTGTACACATGTAGTGGTAACTCCATAGTGGTTAACAATATCACCTAACACGAGAGATATTGCATGAATGGATGGAGGCACAAAACACAGGAAGGGTTGTGTCTGGAAGGGCAAACGCATATCGCAAGTCTTTAAGCAGGGTAAATTAAGATTATTCTTTTTTATTTTTATTATTTATTTATATATTTTTTTGTATTTCAATGCTGCTGTTTCACTAAAGCCATTTCCATGTTTTGCTTTTTGGGTGTTACACTTTTGTCCATCACATTTTCAAACAGATTTCAACATTTACTCTAAAATATAAGTTAAATCAACCACCAATAACTTTAGCACTGCCTACCTTGTGCTGAAATACTGTATCAAACATATATAAATTATTTATATGTTCAATTGGGTGGCTGTGGCTCAGGTAGTAGAGCAGATCAACTACTTATTGAAAGGTTGGTGGTTCGATTCCTGGCTCCCCCAGTCTGCATGCCAAATATCCTTGGGCAAGATACTAACACCAAGTTGCTCATCGGAGTGTGAGTGTTTATTAGTTTGCACTTGAGTTTAGAAGTGCATGTGTGAGTTGGTGTGAATGGGGCATGTTGTATAGAGCGCTTTGAGAAATCCGGGAGAGTAGAAAAGCTCTAAATAAGAATCGGTCCATTTACCATCTATATTTGTCTGTGTGTGTGGAAGTGTTTTACTTGCATTATATCCAAAATATATATCTATCTCTATCTATCTCTCTATCATGCTTCACAACATTGTGGTGTTCAAGAAACAACTCTAAACTCTTAAACTCTACTAAAGAACCTGCTGTGCCAGCTACCACCATGCAATACAGAGTAGTTGATTTAGCATTTCTATTACCCAGTTCCCATGCCTTTTTGTATAGGTTATAACAACTCCAATAGTGAAAGACTATAATGAATCATTTTCAATGATTTGAGATATGTCATGTAATTTTTGAGTATAAGTTATGAATTATGCCTTAACTGTTATAACTGCTTTAAATGTGGTAAGAATTATCTTGTGTGGGAACAGCAACAACGAAATACATAAAAAATATAATTGAAACATCTATTATATTTGTAATATAGAGTAAGCGCTATGTTAAACTTTTTAAACTAAAACATGTAGTTCTTGATTTACCATACTATACTCATAAGTTAATAATTTCACACAGAGATTCATTCCCTTCCTTTGCAGGTGGATACATGTTCAAGTCGCCACTGTTTGATCCTATTTCCTCAAACAGGTTGGATTTATTTTTTACATTGTTTTAATCGAGTGACAGTAGTTCAAAGTAATGTCTCTGTTTAAAAATTATCTTTATTTGACAAATCAAATGTTATTCAAAGGATGTTTTGGAGGCCAGTGATGATAATGGCATTGTCCAAAATGTGTCTGCTGAATCGAAACAGCCACAAACTGATGTGTCTCCATCACGATCGTCTTCATCCCTCAAAAA